ATGATGTCATCATATGTAAAGTATACCTCACAGACAACTAACTAACATTCAAAAATTCAAATGGAATGAGCAATTGTAGCGAAATAACCTTGACGACAATTTCTTGCCGCAACTTCACATGAGTACATGACACGGGTTTGCATTTTCTCAGCGAATTCTCGCTGTTTATGGCTGAAATTTTGGCAGCAGACATAGTAACAGCAGATGTACCTGTGGTATAAATTTGAGACCAAATAACAATACTGTGGAGAAAAAATCGACAAAATAATCTGTGTCGTTTATTTTAGTCAGAAAAATAAATAATCCGTCGGATCACAGAAAAAATCAACTACCGTACGGTTCCTACTGACATTAAGCTATCGAAACTGCCTTGAGGAGGCATTCTACGTTACTGCTTACGGCTATACAAAAGTAGTGGCGGAGGCCTCTTTTTTCCTCATAGAAAACTAGAAAAAATGTTCTTTTTTGTGAAAAGATAGAGCGTCTTTCGCTTTATTTTTCTATGCTATTTGATCACTATCCGGCTGGTATTATAATAAGAAAATTTCGATCAGAAGTTTTTTTGTGATACTCTAGCTGGTAGCAATAGCACATATCATCATTCATGTGTGTTTTCTTTTCGTTTTTCTTTACTTTTCTCTTCTTTTTTCATCATCTTCTTCTTTTCATGTCTTCTAATAATTAGTCGTTCACATGCGCATATACATTAACACGCCTGTCTTGTTGGTGTTATGTACGCGTGTCGTTTATTTGTGTATATTTAAGAAAGTCAGAAAAATAAATTTTGGTTAAACTTTTACACTATTCTCCTGTTTGAGATGAATACAGCAAATTTTCGCTTTTACATTAAAGTGCATACTGCACTTAATATTCAAGCAAGAATTATTCATGATGAATTGTATTCTGTTTGTGGTGATCAAGCTTCTTCTCTGAGAATAGTTGAACGATGGTCTAAGTTGTTTCGTGAAGGTCGAGAAGAAATTGAAGATGAAGTAGGACCTGGTACGCCTGTTACTGAAACAACATCTGAAAATATTGAACAGGTTCGACTTCTTATCGATGATGATCCTTACACTAGAATAGAAGAGGTGCAAGAACAAACTGGTTTAACCTACGGCATCATTCATCGAATCATCACCGATCATCTAAAACTTAAGAAGATTACCGCTGATTATATACCCAAAGACCTGACTGATTTTCAATGGGCTGAACAAGTTGGAATATGTAAACAAAATTTAACAAAATTTTAACAAGAAACGTGGCGTTTATGTGATATAATAACTGGTGACAAGTCATGGTTTTATCATAATCAGATTGGTCGAAAGTCATCAAATGCAGCGTGGATGAGCAGAGGAGATCCTCCACCTACAGTAGTTCTACGCGATAAGTTTGCTCCGAGAATCCTACTTTCCATCTTTTTTAAGTCGGATGATCCTGTTTTGATTCATCCTGTGGAACGAGGACAAACGATTGATCACCAGTATTACATCAACAATTGCTTACGACCTCTCATCGATGAAATCAAACGTCAAAGACCCTCATATGGAACCCGCGATATTAAAATTCACTACGATAATGGAAGACCACATATTCAGGAAGATATGTCTAGTTATCTTGAATCGGAAGGTCTCACAATAATGCCACATCCACCTAATTCTCCAGATTTATCACCATGTGACTTTTGGTTATTCGACTTAATCAAAGAATATCTGACCGATCAAAGTGATTCAGAATCATTATATGATCCCGTGACCAATTTCATGTATTCTTTGAATAAAGAAGAATATAGAAAAATCTCCGAGAAATGGATTGAAAGAATGCAATTGTGTATAGATAACCAAAGTGATTATTTTGAACATTTGATAAAATAAACAATTTTAAAATTTGTTTCTGTATTTCTTTTGTTGCATCGCCATTACTTTTTGTCCACTGTAAAATATGTGGACGGTTAGTTATTAGAAGAGATGAGAAGAAGATGATGAAAAAAGAAGAGAAAAGTAAAGAAAAAACGAAAAGAAAACACGCATGAATGATGATATGCACTATTACTACCAGCTGGAGTGTCACAAAAACAAATTTCTGATCGAAATTTTCTTATTATAATACCAGTCGAATATTGATCAAATAGCATAGAAAAATAAAGCGAAAGACGCTCTATCTTTCCATAAAAAAGAAAATTTTTTCTAATTTTCTATAAGAAAAAAAGACCTTCGTCACTACTTTTGGATAGTCCTAAGTAGATAGCTGAAAGGTGAAGTATGTTTATTTTTCTGCCGCCATTACAGGGTGGCCCAAAAGTTACGCTACCGAAACAAATTGAATGTCTTCATGATGACTTGAGCAAACAAGCTGTTTTTTTATCAATGATAGAAACATGTTGAAGCTTTATATTCACTAAGACATGTCCAAAGAGGCCGTTTGGTAAGTATCATTATTAATTTCAACAAAAAATTCTACTTTTTTATAGATAATAAAAAAAACAATATACTTAACAAAGATCCTTTCTAGGCATGCCTTTATGGATATAAAGCTTGAATCTGTCTTTGCTATTGATAATAAAATCAGCTCGTTTGCTCGAGATGTAATGAAGATATTCAATTTTTTTTCGGTACAATGATTTTTGCACCACCCTGCATATTGGTTTTTTCCTATCTGTGAAAAAATTAATTTTTTTTGTTAAAGTCAATAATGGTACTTAAAAAAGGTTCTCTCTAGCATTGTCTTTATGGATATGAAGTGTGAACATGCCTTTACTAGTGATAAAAAAATCAGCTTGTTTGCTCGAGCTGTGACAAAGATATTCGATTGTTTATCGTTTGCGTGTCTTTTGGACCACCGTATAGTAGACCACTTTAGTATTAGTTTCATGGTCTCGTCAACGATGACGTATTTATGATCATAGCGATACAGAACAAGCAGTGATCTTTCTAATTACTTGTATCTTCGAGACAGGTTTTTTCAAATTGGTTACGATATCCACATTTTTCAAAATTTCATCTAATTATTCAGAAACTGAAACATATCCTAGTAGGAATTCTCTTTTTGAAAATTCTTGCGCTCAGTTATAATAAATCGGAAGAAAATTTCTAATATTGGAAGGAAAACCTTTGATAGACATAAAACTACAAAAATCTTCAAATAATGATTATACACGATAAATAGCAAGTTTTCTCTTGAAAATATGTAGATTTGCGAAAAGTGGGTTGGCGATGATTAGCATCTCTAATTGTATATGGCCATAAAAATCGTTTGATACGATAAAATCCTTCTAGATTTTAAAATTCGAATGTTCTCAGGCATAATATATCATTTTTCTTAATTTTTATCGATATGAACTAGAGAATTATTTTCGGTTCAGTTTGCACTTACGGCACTTGGGTGTGGGTGTGTGAGTGTAGGTGCTGGCCGTGCCTTCTCTCACACCCACATCCCACACCCACCCACACCCACACCCACACCCACACCCACACCCACACCCTATTCGTAATCAAAGACTGCCCGGTAACTTCTGGATCATCCTGTATTTTGCAACATATTCAGTTCGAATATTATTCGGTAAACTGGTTTTCTCATATTTTATGTCGGTAAAAAGTCGTAACTTTTGAGAGATCAATACATGAAAGTTCTCCAAACTCTTACTATTTAGCATCAGTAGAGCCCATTTTTCACAAGCTTTCATTAGTGTATAAAATACATCATAGCTTCTATTTGAAATTATAACAGTACCTCCCCTTAAATAATATTATTTCCCATCCTGTATGTGAACTCATGCGTCACAAGTTTTTCACAAAAATGAGTCTCTAAAAATGAACCGCACAAATAGTATGGCAATTCACCTATATAGTATCTTTCTTTTTGTATTGATCATTCGCTTTCGTCGATGGCAGCTAAGATCTCGTTGGCCGCTCTCACACCAGATAAATAAGCGCCAGTGACTGTGCTGGGATCTGTCCAGGATGTAGCCTCTCCGGCAAAGAAAAGACGATTGGCAATTGGAGCGGCCAAAGTGTAGTAGTCATTGATCGAACTACCGGCCATAGGATAGGAAAAAGAGCCCAAGGCAAATGGATCAGATCCCCAGCGTGTAATAGTATAAGATACAGGTGGTCGAGCTTTTGAACCATAGGCTTTAGTAAGTACAAGCATAATACGTGCTATGATGCTAGTGTCAAGTTCGTGTTCGAGTAGAGCGGAAAAGGTACCCGTCGTGAAGACGAGTAGTATGGGTTGAGAATATAATTTGTAAAAGTTGAGCATTTCAAAGTGCTCATAAGAATTATTTTTAGGTGCCATGAAACATAACCACTCCGAGGTACGATTCCAGAAAACTCGATCAAAAAGTAAATAGACTTTATTAAAGATCCCAAAGCCTATGGCGTTAATGGCAGCGAGCTTGTTGGCGGGAAGCTGTGGTATAAATTTGATTTTACGAGATTTCAGCACACCTAGAGAGACGGTTATCAGAACAAAACGACCCTTGTGAATCTCCGTTGGTGTGTCTGTGTACAGTGATACAGAATCATTGGAAGAATAGTTGATCTCCGTAACAGTTTTGTTGAGTAAAAATGAACAGCCTCTAGTGAGCTGTTGTAACAACTGCCCATATCCGTACATCCAAAGGACGTCTTTGCCACTAGTCGTCGGCTCGAAACTAACGAGCAGGTGAGATGAAACCGATGTACTATAAGCGCCATTTTCGTACGGACCTGTGCCTCCTGATACAAATGGAAGTACAGCCTGACTACTGTAAGACAACTGGGCTCTGAGCTGTTCGTAGATTGGTTGTAGTTCATTGACGTTCACCGATAATTTCACATATTTGGCTTCCTCTTCCAGATAATCGAGAAATATATGAAGTTCAGAAAGCGCTTCTTGCATGTCATCATTGGACATAACGGATCCGTTCGGATAAAAGAGAACCGCGGACTTGAACTTATCAAATGCATAATCAGAACTGTAGGCCGTGTCTACAGTGGGTAGATGATTCTTGATACTAATGTTGTAAAGTGGATTATTGTCCTTGTGGTGAATCCATGAGGCGCCGATGTCCAACGGTGCACCCCATTTATTAAGTGTTTGCACTCGACCGCCAACACGATCACGACCTTCGATGATACGATACCTTATTCTATTTTCACGAAGCGTTTTTGCAGCTGCTAAACCAGCCACACCAGCACCCACGATTAAGACTGTAGGTGTATCGTCATTAACTAAAGATGCAAAGACAAAAAACTAAAGGACAAGCCAAACTAAGTGTCGAAAGAAGGATCATGTGTAGATCCTGAGGGTATTGGGATCCATCAACAGCTACAGTCTAAAAAAAAAAGGTAATTTTACCGAACTTTCCAGGTTTCGTATTGTTGTACGAAACGACTTTAAGTTCCGTGGCATCAAAAATCGTTTCGTAATTTTCATACAGAACCTTTTTAGGTTTCGAAAATTGAAGAGGGTTTTGAAGTTTTACTACGAAACTCTCTAGAAGTTCCGTGCATCATGTGCGAAGCTTTCGGTAGTTTCGTATCTTTTGTACAAAACTGTTGACAGTTTCATGTAGCATTTAAAGGTTCCGTATAAGTTCTACGAAGCCATTCATAGTTTCGTAAATATTATAATGGTTCGGTAAATTTTTTACAAAGTTATGACTAGTTTCGTACAATGTGTCCCGAATTATTACAAGACTTACGAAACTATGCATGGCTTCGTAGAACTTATACGGAACCTTTAAATGTTACACGGAACTGTCAACGATTTTGTACAAAAGATACGAAACTACCGAAAGTTCCGCACATGATACACGGAACTTCTAGAGCTTGGGTCCTCAAGTACTATTATATGAAGGTACCCTTGCATCCTGAAGGATATTATGTATAGATACTCTTGGGTCCTGAACTGCTATTATATGGAGGTACCCTTGGGTCCTCAAGTCCTATTATATAAGGGTATCCGTAGATCAGTGGAGGGATGTAACAATTCTAATACTTGCAATACCAATACAATTTCTTATTCGCCGTATTGATAGTTTGCAAAAGAACATCAAAGTTAAAAATTTCGAAAAATTAACGGTAGATTCGAATTCCTCGATTCGGAAAACTTTTGACCAAACTTTATGTAGCATCACTGTTTTCGAAAGAAGCTTCTCCTTGACGAAAAAAATTCATGACCGTGAAATGTAGAAAAATTAATTTCACGCTCTTGATTTTTCGTCATAGAAAGGCTTCGTTTCGAAAATAAGGGTTTTTTTATAAAGTTT